AGCCAAACCAACAGCAGAGTGAGTTTATACTTCGATATTTCCTGCACATTTGCATAATATCGATAAATATCGATTCTGAGACAAGGTTTATTAGTCATAACTCGAAGATTATAAGAGATTATAGGAGTTATTTATACCAATTAAGTTATGTGGGTTCTCTTAAAGTATATACGGATTGAGGATCTTTAACTTTTAAGATATATCCCACTTTCCATAAGAACTAACTTTGGGAGCTTGAGTTTTGCTAAAGATAATCTAAAAACTCAGTTATTACCAGTTTTATAAAGCTCAACACTATTCGATCTACATCAAACCGAAAGAAGGCCCCTTTCATCTCGCACTTACAATCTAGCAAAAGACCTTAACCCCTTGATAAACCATCTAATGGAAATTCTTGGCCATTTTGGTAACTTTCCCGTATCTTTAGAATCTCTCATAGCCAACCTTTTACTGTCCAACAGAATCGACTTTTGTCCAACTCCGATCTGCACGGGCCGCACAAATTGCCCATAAATAACAAGCAGAAACCGTCGCAGCGCCTACACCATCATTATCAGCTTGTAAATAAAAAGACTTTATCAATTGTTGGGCCCCGGGCCGCTGGGCCAACCAACTGCAGCCAACCAGGCGGTACGCGGTATCCAGTGCGATTTTGCGCCTGGAACCAACTCTCTCACCTAATAACATAAAAGTTATCGAAATGGCCAAAAAGAGGAGAGTCTCCTCAGAGCAGTGGCTGCGCCGAGGCTGTGTCTCGGCCCCGTCTCGGGCTAAGTACAAATATTTTTTTATTTATGATTTTACAGATCAGCATATTGCTCAATAATTTTTAAGGCCTTGCCTTGCAACAAAATAACTTTCAAATTATGCTATCCCCCGCGCCGGGTGAAGCGCTTAAGTGCGCCAATTTTGAAATTATTGGCGGCTGCGTATGCAGATAATCGTGACCTGCTCCCCACACACACACAACAGACACACACAACAGGCACACACACAGTCAGATAAAGATGCAGGCGGGGCAGATGTAGATCGAGGTTCAGGCTCAGGCACAGGTTCAGGCACAGCAGCGCGGCCCATAACTCAGGCTGCGCTGAAATACAGTAGAATCTCGATAGGTTGAACAGTACAAAAGTAATCATTGATAAAGTAATCATTCGGCAGCACGCCGAAGATTTGATACCCTTCTAAGACATTTGCCCTTAGCATTTTAAGATAAAAATATCTTGGAAAACAGAAGAATTTCCCATATAATAACCTTCTTTTCAACCGTTTCTTTCCATAGAGCTTTATAATATGGTATAGTAGAGATATTAATAATATTTGGCTTAAATGTAAACTTCATAGTTTCACTAATAGGACACGATATCTTTATAAACAAAAGAGTTGACCATACAAGAACCTACTTTTCGATCGATCGCTCCTATGGCAGCTATATGAAATAGTATTACGATCCGACATATGTACTGCCTGTAACAGAAAGACGAGCCTATGCAAAGTTTCAAGGAGCTAGCTTTAAGACTGAGAGATTAGTTGGCAAAGACGGACGGGTAGACGGACGTTTAGACGGACTCGATTATTGATGCGGATCTAGAAGATATCTAGAGGTTAGCACAAGGAAGCTTTTATACCCTTGTGGAGATTTTCCTTACACTTACCGACAAACAAAGAGACGACTATATCAACACGATTGTTCAAGATGATCTAGAATATCTGGGAGATGTCTCCTTCTAGGCGTTGCTTATTTCATGACAAAATTATAATACCCTTGAATAGAGATAAGTCTGAAATAGACACATTTTGCAGTTAGAGCTTCTCTAAAATCAGCTGCGCTCGACTGAATTTTCCTGCTTGTTCGATTATTTGTTGGTTTTCCGAGCTTGCAAAGTTTTCCACATTAACAGGTTCGCACTGTAGAAAAGTGAACCTGAGCGCAAATTGTTGTGCGAAAGTTGTTGGCTTTTTTTGCTTTGGGCGCAACAGTTTTGCTTAGCTATTTGTATATAGAACTCGTATATCATGACACATTAATTTAATTACTCTATTTGGCATAGTTTTCCCAACGTTCAATTTTCCAGGCAACAAACACCGAGCTGAGTAAATGCTGTTCAGCCGTATTTGGGGCAGCTTAATATTTTCCCATAAATAATGCGAGAGCTTGAGAGAAAATTACTTTAAAATTTATGGGCGAATCAGACGGACAACAACACAACCCTTCGTGTGTATCTTACACGCTGATTTGGCCCTTTTTATTTTTGCAATTTATGAGCCTGAGAGCCAAAGAGATCTCCGGCTGGAGAGCAGTTGCCTCCTCCACTTCCAGCTCCTCTAGAGTTTTGTGCCGCGGCAAGTGATATTCACAAATAACGTGTTTCGTTTGGTTGTGGCTGTTTTTTTTTTTCGATTTTTTTTTGGCAAGTGGGCGGGCCAATGAATCTTGAAAGTTCGCACGATTGATGATCCACTGATGGACTCACAGACAGGCAGACGGACAGTCGGACGGACGGACGGACGGACTGTCAGGCGAACTGACAGTTGCGATGACGCCGACCTGTCACCGCACTGACATAGCCATTTATGTAATTACACGCGGCCCCGGCCATATCACAAAGCGATCGCGATCCGCAACGCATCGCACCGCGAGCTTGTAATTATTTTCTACTTAATCTTCATCACATGTGCAACATGTCGAAAACTTAAGCGAATTGACGCGCTGCATCCAGCTAAAAGACAGAAAAATACCTAAAAAAAAAGTGTGTGCCGTGTGTACCCACACAGCGTGCCTCGATGGATCACACCTGGCGTAGGGTTGGATTCGCACCCACATTATTGCTGGTTAAAAAATATTTGTGATTGATGAAAACCAACTCTTAAATAATTATACTTCAGTTATCCAGTGGATACTTCAGTTATCCATAAATGGAAAATTCAGTAGCTTCTTTCTTTATGAAGTAAAATTGCTCGACAAATAAGAAAAAGTACAAGAAAGTACGAGGCTCCAGGTTTTCAATCTATATTAATATTTGAATTGTGACAAAATGCTGAACCATTGCTTTTAATGAAAAACTAAAGCAATGAAAATGATTTAAACTAGACAACTTTTCCATTCAAGTGAAACTGAAATAATGTATGTAGTTTGATAGACATTGTGAGGACAGCAAAGTTTTAGAACAGAAACTTGGCAATTAAAAAAATGACCACAGTTTTTATGTGAACTCTACTCTAATAAGATTGGAAAACGTTTCAGAAACAGAAGAAACAACTGAGAAAGAGTTCAAGGGTTGTTTTTTCCCTTTACTTTACAAAACCTTATAAGCAATAAAGCATATCGACGCGGCTTGGACTTCAGGAAGGAACGAGAGCGGCTTCTAGATAAGAGACCTAACAGCTACAAGGTCAAAATGGAAATAGGCTCCATAACTTAATCTTTAAAGAATTGATAACTGAACTTCCAAAAGGCAAAAAAAGAGAACATACCCGATAATTTACTCTACCAAGAAGTAAAAGACAGATAACTTAACTCTCAACTCAACTCTTTCTATAAAGAAGTGATATTGTTTGTTCCAGAAATCAAGATATTTTTTCTCCCAACAATAAAAGTTAAACATGAAAACCAAAGAACGTCGAGCATTTCTTTATGAACAATACAAATTCAACAATGAGAAGTGAGAACATTGAAGCCATAAACATAAGCGTATACAATCGCTAATAAAGTCACGTAATCAACAAATCACTGTGAAATATCACCGCACGGTGATTTATCGGTTTTTGCAGCCCTGCGGGGCAGCCCAAAAGTGAAAATGAATTGAACATCGGCTGTGCGTGCGATGTGCCATGCAAAACGATCTTCTACAACAGGGTCCACCTGCGCCCAAGTTCAAGACTGGCCTCCAGCTTTAGCCCTTGTCCCCCCCGCCCCAGCCCCAGTCGCAGCAACAGCCGCAGCACCCGCTTCAGGTATATATCAGGTGTTTAAGGTTTCACAAAACAATCGCCGCATGCAGATGAAGCGCATGTGAACGTGCCTCGCTTATCTGTGGCAGTTGTGTTGCAAGCATTTTTTTTTTTTTGTTTTTGGGTTCTTTTTTATGCGCTCGGTCAACCTCTGACCGAATTTCCAGCGATAATTATCGGTTGGCGTGCAAATATGCGGAAAGAATTCCCCGTGGCTTGTTATTGTCTTTTGTTTTATGTTTTGACTGCTGCTCTTTGATTTTTCGTTTTGAGCTTTAAATGGAACTAATTAAATTTAGCGCAACGCGCATTAAATTTCCTTGTCCTGGCAGCAGTGTTGCCAGCTACGTTTGTTTGCCGTCAAATCTGGCCCTTTTTTTTTATAGAGGTTGGCTTTGCGTGCAGCGAGAATTATGGCTATTTAACTTGCCAGTTCGAAGCTTCAACTTGTTGCGAATTGTAACGCGTCAAGTGACGAAAAGTAGCAAGAGCTAGTAGGAAGAGCTATGTAAAAGTTAATTGTACATAACTTGTTATGATGAAATCATGCAAACGTGGTTATGAGAATCACGTAGTACGGCAATAGTTAAAAGAACTGTTCTCATACAAATTTGAAATACATGAGAATCGCATAGACGATCCACATTTAAATACATGTTTCTTTTAAACTATCCTATATACCACTTAATCTGGCAACAAGATTCTTGGTCAAAGTTCATGTAAAAAATGGTTCTCTCAAATATCCCATATAGACATAGGACATAGATAATTTAGGAAATTTCCCACCCTCATAACTCGGTCAAATAAGAACTTAATGAATACGTTTTTCAGTGATTTGGAAAATGTCGCCCGCAACAATGGTAAATTGGCTTACCGATCGAAATCATTTTTAAAGATCATTGAAAGAACTTATTTTATACATACTAGGGGCAAGGTCGGGTTATACCTGCTGCTATATAATAAAAGTGAATGTATAAAATATATAAAAATTAATACATACCCAAGTAACGTTTCGTAGATGCCAACATATGTGCTAATGAAATACTTACAAGCAGAACTGCTTCAGTTTCTTGGAGACGGCAACTCTACAATGATAACGAATTCCTTGGCCAGTTCAAACTCCTGTTTCTGCTGCTTGGGCTTCGCCAACTCCGGCTTATCCAACTGCTGATGCTCCTCCTACAGCGCTTCACCGACTAAAATAGCATAAAAATCTGGAGCCCTACTTGAATTCATGAGTTTAGCAAATTTCAGCTTACATACATACATACATACATACATACACACATACACACATACATACATACATACATACATACATACATACATACATACATACATACATACATACATACATACATACATACATACATACATACATACATACATACATACATACATACATACATACATACATACATACATACATACATACATACATACATACATACATACATACATACATCAACATACATACATCAACATACATACATCAACATACATACATACATCAACATACATACATACATACATCAACATACATACATACATCTACATACATACATACATCTACATACATACATCTACATACATACATATATCTACATACATACATATATCTACATACATACATACATCTACATACATACATCTACATACATACATCTACATACATATCCACTTACCCGCCCAACTCCTGCTCCGCCGCCTCCTCCACAGTTGCTCCTCCACAGGCAGTTGGAGCCAAAGTGCCCTGCCTTGCTGAATTTCAACAGAGCCTACTTGAATTTTTGAGAATCGAGGAGGAGAGCACTTGATAAAAATTCGTTTTATTTAAATTTGCAGCACAGAAAAATTAGCTTTGTTTGCGTTTGATATTAGAAAACTAACATGCATGCATACATGCATACATACATACATACATACATACATACATACATACATACATACATACATACGTACATATGTTTTACACATACATACATGCATACATACGTACATATGTATGGGTTGCGCGTTGATCAGTCTGTAAAGAGTTTAAAATGTAGATTAATTAAATATTTAAAATAGCGCAGCCTTTTTTCGCTTCTTTTCAATTTAGCTTCTTTTGCTGCTTGAAATAGCCATTTTTCTTCTTCTTTAAAGCTGGCAACACTACCTGACACACACACACACACAAAGACAGACACGCACACAGAAATCAGCATAATTGGGGCTTGCAAATCATTGGGGTTCCGCCCATTCACACTCTAGCATCCAGCTACACAATTTGGGGCAAAGTCTTCCCTGTTGCCACACCCTTTGCTCCTGTCTCTGTCTCGGCCTTTGCCTCTGCCTCTGCCTCTGCCCCTGTCTCTGCCCGTGCCTCATGCCACACTGATTTAGTGTCATATAAAACCAGTAAGTGAAGATTATGTTACCAGAATTAATTGCAGCCAAGGTGAAGGTAACAACAGGCCCCACATCAGACGGAGGAAATGTCAGTTCCCTTTCCCCGGTGCCTTTGCCGAGCACGTGCTAAAGTTGAAGTTGTCTGCTTTTGGCCTGGAACACACACTCCTCTGGTTATTTTTGTTTTTGATAATTTAATTGATAAAATGACAGGCTGAAGCCTTAAAAATTGCCGGCAATCGAACGTATATTGATTTTATGTACACATTAGCGAGTCTCTGTCCCTGCTTTGTACTTTATTTAAGTGGCATTTGGCTTGGCACGCCCTCGACTTCGCTGCCAAGCGTTGACTGCAGGTGTTGGCTACACAGATTTGGTGTCATCTTTTGCCAAACTGGGGGTTGCTTCAGTTTATGAATATAAGTGCCTTATGCCTTATTAAGGAAACGAAGTTGCGCTGCAGGAAATATTGATTTACCCATCAGGAAGTGCCTAAGAAAATAATATGAATTCAATAAGGAAGCCAAGTTTGGGCTTAACAAGGCTGTCAACGATTGTGGGAGATTATATATAGAATATGTATATTGGGAGTTTAAAATGATTCAACTTTTTCTATTAATCGATATAGAAAAACTTCTCTTCAGATTCCTCGTGTTGATTAGGACAAATATTAAATCGATTATGGATAGACAATCTAGACAAATGCTTTTATCTTAGAGACCATAAGAGTCGGAGTCAATTTAATATGTGGGCTCATCAAAACCAAACACAGTTCAAGTATGTTCAACATTTCGTCACAAAAACATAAATCAATAAAAACAAATCATCTATTGACGTGCAGCTTCATATATTTAACCAAATATACCACAAACATGTTTTAAGTCGAGCGTAATAAATTCTTTGGCAATTTATTTGCACAATTGACCGCTATTTAAATATGCATTTTGCCATCTTAGAAATGTGCTCAGTCTTTGATAAATGCATTTCGTATGCAGCTTTAGAGCAGACAGCAAACGAGTACTCATATTCGGAATTCGTATTCGTATTTGTGAGGCAGCTGCAACTAAAACCAAATGCAGCAAATATTTGCGTTTCGGTTCAATGTTAAACTCTGACCAAAGCAAACAACTCGACCACGAATATGCCTGAAACGAATATTTTAAAGCTTAAATATTAAATTAAATAAAAAGCAGTTGGGGTGAAAAAAAAAATAAGTTACCATTAAATGCTATGTCAAGTGAAAAACTGAACAAGTAAAAGTGCGCTAGACGAGCGAGGCTCCAGTAGGAGATACCCTGTAAGTAGAAGAAAATGTTTAAACAGGAATAGACTCAATCCGAAATAACTTTTGTACTTTTTGTGAGATTATTGTTAACTTTATGCCATTTTGATATACGTATAGACCGAAAATCAAATCCATAAATGTAAAAATTTTGGTCCTTTTGGGGAAGTTGGGAGAGGTATTCGAATTATGAAATATATATGATTTCAAACCCTGATCAAGTCACAAGCCAAGCAGCAAATCTATAGCTAACGCCGAATATGCCCCTTAGCGCTATTTACAGGGTATACAAATACAACTAGCAACATAGAAAACATAATATTGCCAAGCACCTGGCAGCAGCAGTCAATTTGCTTGAACAACTGAGTGTAGATTAACGCTTCAGGGATCTGGAGCACCCCTCTCAGCGCTCGCTGCCACCCAATTGTGAATCCTTCATAATTATATACATGCAATTAGATGCAGCAACCCTTGCAGGACGCCGTGCAGCCCCCCAAGTAAATGGCCAGTGGCCCAGGAGCTCTCGCTGAACGTGTCGTAAAAAACAATTACCAAGCACCACAAGCTGGTAGCATACAATTCCTGTTGCAAATACCCCTGGCCTCGTTTATGCCACCCACTTTCTGCCTCCTGCCTCCTGCCACACATTACGTAATCCCTTTCGAGCAACCAAGCAAAGTTGTAAGCGCAAATTGTTTAGATTCCTTTTTGCAACATGCATTTTGTATGCCTCCATCTGTCGCTCTGTCTCTCTGTCTGTACGTCTTTCTGTCGAGTTTCGTTGTCTCACTTGCCGCTGTTTTCTTGGGTTTTTTATGTTTTTTGATAATTTTCCTGTTGGATTTGTGCTTTTCTGAGTGCGATGCCAAGTAGGAAGACAGACGAGGCAGCGCAAAGCGGATTTCGTGGCATATTTTATGAGCACAGATGTGCGTTCTGCAACAAGAACAACAGAAACTCAGACAGAGCTGACCCAATGGGTTGGTATTTTATGAGAACAAGAAATGCGATTTATGTACACAGTGTCGAATACTAAAGACCCTGGCAAGAATGTGCAGATGAAGGAGAAAATCATTAAGATTCCCTGAATGCAAAACATAAAATGGTTCGAACCAGCGCTTTTTCTTTAAGTTCAATTCGATTTCAATATACGAGCTAGAGACTTGAAATTTGCTGTGTAGGTCTTCCAAGTGACCGCGCGGTATCGATAGTCGATGAGTTGCCTCGATTTCTCAGTAATCGATAAATATCGATATCGAAAACCTGGCTTTTAAGCAAATCTCATAAGTTTTAAGAGCCAGAGTTACCAAATTTGACATGTAGCTTCTGAAATAGGTTACATATATAAAATATCTTTCATTTTGTAGTTAACGAGGTAAAAGCTATTGCTAAGAGAAGGTTCAGGATATCCCCTAGCCGGGCATTTCTGACTAGAACACCCTTACTCTTGTTTTTTCATTACAAACCCATTGAAAAACTTTCTAAAATTATTATGTTCCGTAAAGAGTTTTATTATTAGCTCTATCTGCAGTATTTTTTCCCTCAATACCCTGGCATTAATGCCATATTTTTATTGCTACTCCGAACCACTTGAACTTTTACTTGTGACCTTCGATTTTTTTCGCTGTCAGGGTTTTTTTTTTTTTTTTGCTGTTGCATGAAATGTAAATGCTTGTGAGAGACCTTTGAAGTGGCATCTAATCATCCTGCCCGGCAGTCACCCCGCTGCTGTCATAACATGCTGTCATACTCGCTGCAAAAAAAAACAAAAGCGAAGGCGGATTAAAGAAACAAGCGCGTGCCTCGCTGCGGCTAGAGCTGCAAAAGATGATGAGAAACTTGAGCGTCAAGCAGGCAGAAGCTTTAAGCCGCTAAATTGTATCGGATTACAGCAAATTCCAAGCTAAAATTCCTTACCCATGGGCGGGCGCAGCTCCAGACCCGCCCGCACTCTGTTTTCCCTGCAGTCGCTATGTTAATGAAGGTGCACCTTGTGGTTGCTGAGGGGACGGGGACAGGGAAAGGGACAGGGACGGGGACGGGTTCGGGCGTAGTTGGTGGAAAGCCAAGTGCTTGGGGAGCTTAACGTCAGTGTGTTGGGTTTTTGTTGTTGTCGTCCTGCTGTTGCTGCTCGACTAAAAATGGCTGCGGGCCATAGAATGCATTGAAACGGAGAGAGAGAGAGAGAGACGGCCGGGCGGACAGCCGAACGGAGAGAGAGAGACGCCCGGATGACACACAAGTGCTGAACCCGTGAACTCGCGTCGGCCCAACCAGAGCCAGGGCTGGCTCGAGTTCGAGTTCGAGGCGGCACGGCGAGCGCGAATCTTAACACAGTTACAGATAACAACAACTCGAAACGAACCTTTTTAAAAACCAGCTCGCAAACGAGCAGAGACAATCAATCGCAATGGTTAAAGTCCCTCCCGTTGCCCCTCAGCCTCTGCATCCCCATTTTTGCCTAACGTTAAAACAAAAATGTGAGTTGAACGCGCACAAA